CCAGGACCAACCCAGCCCCCAGGACCAACCCGAACCCCACCTGAACCCCACACAATAGTCCTGTCCCCAGAGGATGAGGACGACGTACTGCTGGTGCCACTGGCTGAGCCGGGGGTCTGGGTGGTTGAAGCAGAGGATGAGCCGCTGCTTGCCTGAGGTAACCCAGCTCTCCTGGCGGCTCTAGTCACAGTGACAACAACCCTTTAGAAAGTAACTCAGCTTCCCTTCCACTACTGCCCTCCCTGACCCTAGGTCTGAGGGGACTTGGCGAGCCTCCCTTTGGCCCTGTGTACCTGCTGTCAAGTTAGGTGTCCCTCAGGCAGAGAAAGAGCTCACACAGAGCTCCCTCTGCACCTGGCCAGAGATCAGTCTCTTCACCACCATCCTCTCCTCACACCACCACCATTTGGGTGGTTCTTTTTAAAAAGTAAAGTTCTTAAGAGGTCATTGGCCTGAACACTCCATCCTTGCTAGTCCCCCACCCAAAAGTGGCCTTAAGCACCAGAATGCCAATTGGCTAGAGACCTCTAGCCCCCAAGGGGAGGATTTGGGCAGGGCTCTGGTTTTGCCAACTGTGATGCTTCCTATAGGGCCTGGCTCAAAAAAAGAGCACAAATGCTTTTGTTCCATAGCTAGGTCATTACCCAGAAGGTTGAAAATAAAGGAATCAGAAATTTAAGATTTTTTTGCCCTAGCTGGTTTTGCTCAGTGATTAGAGCGTCGGCCTGTGGCCTGAAGGGTCCCAGGTTTGATTTCAGCCAAGGGCACGTGCCTTGGTTGCAGGCTCCATCCCCGGCAAGGACATGTGCATGAGGCAACTAATCAGTGTGTCTCTTTCACATTGATTCTTCTCTCTCCCACTCTCTCTGAAAAGCAATGGAAAAAATGTCCTCTGCTGAGGATTAAAAAAAATAATGAGCTGTGAGCCTGAGCCCTGCCTCTCTACCAGTCTCAGTTTATGCTCACCTCACTTTGCCCCTTCCTGTGTAGGCCTTTCCTCTGCCCTCTTCCTTCTAACCACACCCTCTTGGTTTTTACATCACTCAGTGGGTAAGAAAATCCTAGAGACCCTAACAACCAACCCTTTCCACCTCCACTCACCACCTGGTGCCCAGCTCTACAGTGATTGACACCAGGGTGAGCACCAAGCCTCTCTATTCACAGCCCAGCAGAAGTCTGGTGAACTTGCTGGGCCCTGTAGCTGGAAAGGTTTCTATTTATGGAGTACTCCCAGAGTACAGATCATAGGAGCAGATGTTCCTGTGGAACATGGGAGTTTTGACCCCTGCCCGCCACCCTCTACCCCCACCAGACACTTACAGTCTGTCCTACGCAAGACAGGTGAACCTTGAGCCAGGCTGCTTCAAGGCAAGCAAAGATGAATTGTGAGAAAAATCAGAAACATTCGGGGTGTGAAAATGCTGGCATCTACTTGGCCAAATCTAAGAGGTCTTTCTGGAGAAAGGCCCAAACTAGGTTCTAAAGAACACTGTCTAGTTGGAATAGAATTGTGATTTCTAGGCAGGGTGAATGTCCACAGGATAAGCAAACTAAGCAGACGTGAGGGTGAGGGCTGTAGGCTAGACCCTGAACCTCCTCAGAAAAGGGGTTAGAGCACAAGCAGTGGCCAGAGCCGAAGAGCTGGAGAGGGTGATGGAGGAGGGAATGATCTGTGAAAAATGTTGGAACTCAGCCTCTGGTAAGCAAGGTGACAGAGCTGTCCCAGAGTTTGACTTGAAAATTGGGACAAAAGATATAGAAGTTTATGGGGGTGGCTATTATACCCCAGGAGCAGAGCTGAGACATCCCTGACAGAATGGTCCCCAGGGAAACGCTCAGTCTCGTCCTTACTCTTCCTGGCTGGCCTGGCCTATCCTCACCCCTCTGGAAGAGGGCCCTGTTGATTACACCCTGTCAACATCCTTACATGCAGCACTAATTGCATAATGTTTCCTCTTTCCCAGTTAGCAAGAGCCTAAGGAATGGCAAAAAGGGTATATGGTGTAGTCCTGGGATCCTGGCATCTTGGCTCAGGAAATACCCAAGTTTCTTTCACTCCAGACCCTCTTTAGAGACTGGGGAAGAGGCTCCAGAGATCTTCATTCTTGCTTACTGTTCTCTCTTTGGGCCTTCCTTCCCAAGTGCAAACAATCCCTGGGTCCCACCAGTGTTAGACCCATGGACAGGGAATGTTGATTTCCCTCCATGCCTCCGTCACCTGGTCTCTGCCTTCTTCCTGCTCCTGTCTTCCCTACAGCAGTCTCAAAAACCTTCAACCTGGTATCTTCATCCCTTGTCCAACTCCAGACCTTTTTTTGTAACTTGAAAGCAGACAAAGATTCAAGGTAAAAGAATGCTCCTTATGATGGAATGCCTCAGAATGCTGGAGGGAAGACTTAAGGGTAGAGTTCACTAGGAAGACCTGTGTATATTAGATTCACAAGCCTGAAAGAAGCTTCTCTAGGTGCTGGGTGCGTGCTCTAGGAGATGCAAGCACTAACACTACTTTTATCAGCCACAGTGAAGCTCCAGGCTGGCAGGGAGAAGGAAATGGCCTTGTACAGGCAGTAAGAGAAAACTAAAACAGAGGGTCCTACCCAGGAGAGGGTGGGGCATTAGGGAACATTCACCGAAGTTTATTTTAACCATGGCCCATGGAAAAAGAAAGAAGGAAATTTCAAACACTATCAGGATAGACACCATTATCCATGGTGCCCAGTATCAAGGGTATAAGAGGACGAGGGAGGTGTTCTCAGCTTAAGAGGGGGATCGGCTGGGAATCTGAGATAACTACAGAATTCAGTTCTTACGGAGCAAAATCTGGGCCTGAACCAAGCTCCAGTTCCTGCTGGGAGGGAAGAGGGCCCTTCAGCCACACAGCAGAGGCTGTGGGAGCACCAAGTAGTTGGGCATCCTGCTAAGTGTAAGATCCTTTATCCTATGTGGCCAACCCTCATGACAAGGCTATACTATGGGCATCATAACCCCATGAGCCAATTCCCAGGTTTAGAAGCAGCATCCAGGGAATTAAGAGACTAGCCTAAGGCTCTACAGAGAGGCAGATTTAAACCTGGATATATTCACTTCCAAATCTTGCTCTTGTCCCACTATTCCATAGGATCTCCCATTCCTGAGGGAGCTTGGAGATGGATCGGCAAGTACACAGCCTCTTACTAATGGGAGAGAGATGGTGGTTCAAGGTGAAATCCAACCTGTGCCTGTGGCTTAAAGCTGGTTTCAAGACAGAACTCATAGCCAAGAATTCATGCCCCTGACTCACTCTCATCTGATATCATAGAAATGAATCCAACCACCTAATTGAGTTTTCCAGCTACATCAAGCTCACCCCTTTATAATTTAAAACTTTTCTAAAAACTCATTTTGGAAGGAAATCATTCTAAAACATTACATTCATCTTCAGTACATCTGCAACATAATATAAATTTTTCTGGGATGCTGAGGATCATTCATAAAAACCAATGACTCCTCTTTAACAATGTTTTCAGAAGTTATAATAGTGTCAGGGGGCTGTTTGCCTTTATGTCAAATGACATTAGGGCACTTTTTAAATGCTTGTGACTGCTTTAAAAGGTTTTTGTGGTGTTGCTTCCCTTACTACCAGGCTACCGGGGTTACTTGCTGCTCTAAATGTGCTTTTGGTCTATGAGTACATGAACACACAGGAACACATTAAAATTGTGAATAAAGTAAGGATAAATAGTCCATGATTGAAGACTGGAGAGTCTATCCAATGAGTAAAGTGCATGAGTATTATACCTCCTCAGGAGTCGTTTCTGCTCCCACTAGACCCCACAATGTTGCCCTGTAGTTGAACTCCAGACAAATGAACTGTCACTGCATGTTAGTCCGAAGATTACCAGTTGCCTCTTCGATTGGAAAAGTCCACTGAAGATTGCAATATGGCTTGTTCCCAATAATAGGAGACAGTTGGAAAATTTAAGACAAGGAAAGCAGCATAGGGTAGAGATAAAGAGCAATCTTTGGCATTGGAAAGATGTGGGTGGGAATTCTGGTGTCCTTACTCTTTTTCCAGCTGCATGATTGATTTGAGGACAGGCTGCCTGCCTACCACTCTGAGTCTTACAATCATGAAGATGAAAAGAAATAATGTAGAAAGGTGCTCCGCCCAGCGTGTGGCAAAAATGGTCCAGGAGGGGCGAGGAAATCAGAATGTTTGCTTGCTGGTGTCAGGAAGGAAGGCCAAGACTAACTAGGCAGAAAAGGAACAGTAAAGGAGACACGCCATCCTGGCTTTGCACAAAGAAGCAGACATTGTGTGTCTGTCTGGTGTAGCCCAGAAAGCCTGGTGGCTGACCCATAGAGGGATTGGAGGGGAGGGGCTGGCACTCTACAATCCACCTTGGGGTTGGGAACCCCTAGAGGGTTAGTCTCTCCCTTTTTTCCTGCCCTTATTAACACTAGGTTGGTGGGCCTGGCAGGGAGGGAGAGAAGAAAGGAAGTCCCCACAATGGTTTGCACCACCTGAAAGTAGTGACAAAAGGAAGCTGCCCAAACAAAGCCCCCATCTGCCTAGGGACCAGGCTGGGAAATGAGTGCTTTTGTGGGTCTTAGCCCAGGAATGGTGTGGGGAAGGAGAATATGGCAGGGAAGCTTGATGGCAGGGTGGCTGTACCATCTCTGCATTTCTTTTGGTTTTACCTCTAAGCCCCTCCATTTAGCCACAGAGCACCTACTCTGGGCTGTACACTGGGCTAGGGGTCTGGAAACACAGAGACAAATGACCCATAGTCCTGGCTCCTAGAGAAACACCTCTCAGTCCTTGTATCCCTACCTCCTGCCATCCTCAGCTCCCTTACCCACCAACCCCTTGCCCCACTTCTCTGAACCCGTCTCTTCTGCTCTCTGACTTTCTTCTGTTTAAGTCTTAACCAGACTCTGCTGTGTGTGTGCTCCCAAAGGGAAGTGACACAAAGGGGGGTGGGCAGAAAGGAGGGAATCCCGCTGACATCACTGTTCATTAGCATGTGTGACCTCATCGGGGGCGGGACAATTTCCCCAGGTGTCTGGGGGGGAGGACATGTGGGGGGGTATTTAAAGGGAAAAGCTGACAGTGCTGTTGACTGAGGTATCGGGTGCTGTGAGTCGCCGGGCTGCACACACACACACACACCAACCGATGCATTCGGACCTGGATGCCGACATGGACACGGACACAGAAACCACAGCACTCTGCCCCTCTGGCAGCCACCAGACGTCTCCACCAGGGACACCCACACCAGGTGAGGTAGAGCTGGGGCAGGTTTCGGCTGGAACCATGGGGGTGGGAGCTGAAGCTTCGGTGGGGAGGTCAGAACTAGGGGTTAAAGGAGCTTGAACCCAAACAGCAAGAGGGGAAGAGCAAGTCAGTAAGTGGGGAAGCCTCCCACTCACACTAGGAATGGGGCTGGACTGGGGGTGAGGGGAAAGCTGTTTAAACGCCCCCCCCC